CAGCCTTTTGGGAGAACTTGAACTCGTTCAACATCTATTCCTGCGCAGACTTCTTGGATTGCACAGAAGATGTATGCTAGTGTTCCTTTTCTCCGAGACCGGTCTCATACCCATCAGGTACCACAGGATTACACTTGCCCTGGGTTTCCTTGTCTATCTCCTTGGTCTTCCCTGGGCCCATCTTGCAAACACTGCACTCAAAAACGCGTTCTCATTATCCAATCGTGGACATGCAAACTGGATTAATGATCTTGTTACCGTGCTCTATAGTCTCCTGGTTCTGGTGGTGTGCTCTCTGACTGACTTGCGCGATCCTAAACGAATTGAACATCTCACAGACGATATTCTGAAATCCTGCAAAAGTTCCATTCAAACATCGCAACAGACACATATCCGCACCCACTTCCTCCGTAATAGAGTGGAATTCAAGGACCAAGATTGCCAGCAGTTGAACGTGCCCATCATGACGGTCAGGCCGTACCTACATATTGTCACTGTGCCTAAACACCGTCATGCTTTTACATGTTTCATTGCTTCCGCACACACATTGTCCATTGAATGCCTTCATTATGCAGAAAGGTACCGCCCTCACATTCCCCGTGATTGGAGGTTGTGTCGCTTCTGTCGATCAGGAACTGAAGATGAATGCCATGCCTTACTGACATGTGAGGGGAGCAGCACTCTACTCTATCTTCGCCATCGCTTCCTAGAGGATCTGTTTGATAAAATGCCTTCTCTAAGGACTACTTATCCTTCCCTATGCTCCTCAGACTTCCTGCGAGACTTACTATTCAGGAATCAGACATTACCTATATTGGCTAAGTTTATCTACAATGTACTGAATATCTTCACAGGCAAGAAAGCCTGGATTCCTGCACCTGAACAATACCGATCTCAACCTACTGGGAATTAATATAAATGGGTTTATCACTGCCGTGTCTCTCGCTCTCGCATTATTCTCTTATAATTGCGCCTACAACTCTGGCTTTCCTTTGCATCTAGTGCAAACATCACCTACTTGCTACACGAAGTTTACACTAGATGCAATGGACTGTCTTCGTGCCTAATGCAAACATTGCGAGCTGAGTGGTCAAGACTGCCTGATGTAGGAGTCTCGATTGCTTGCCACAACGGCAAGAGCACTAGGTGCCCGCAGCATGCATACTGGCACTATGCGCGTAGTGCGGAACCCGGCTGTTTCTCAATGGGACCGTGCCGGTTTACCTACCTACCATGTCGGAATTTACATCTATCTGGATCTGGTTCTGTCATGGTTTACACATAAGCACCACTTGCACTCAGCATAGATGGTCTAGTGTACTGTACACATTTCCGGTGGAGGATGATATGTAAATCAAATCGCACAAGGTTTGCATCAAGGTTTGCTTTGACGATGGGAAGCAACTTTGAACATATCGATGCCACGAGGCGCGAACAGTCTTGACTCGGAGCTCCCATTGTTTACAATCTCAAACCATCGTCTCTGAAACAGTGTGTACCCTTGAATATCTTAAACCCTCTTCTGAGTAATGACCACATATTCTTTAGTCTTGAAATGACAGATCTTCCTCTCCACTGTCCCTCATGTGGACACTCATCTACCAACACCCCCATTGCCATTCCCCATTGTACTCCTTGTGTTGAGAGCCTTCTCCAGTCAAACGAAGGACCAACTGAGGACGAAGAGCGTCAATTTCGAAAGTTTGTCATCAAGGGCAAATCAGAGATTCAGTATCTCGAATATCGCATTGAGATGAGCAGGATTTTGTTGGATCACCTCGAGGATACCTTGAACCAACTTTGAGGAGCTGTGAAAGAGCATAAGGAGATGCTCAACCCTGTCAGACGATTGCCGTTTGATGTGCTCCAAGAAATCTTCTTGCATGGGGCAGGGATGTATACGGATGCTGGATCCCATTTTGGTTCAATTTCCCACTCTTTGGATCTTACATCTCCCCCATGGGTTTATGGTCGTGTGTGTCGCTGGTGGAAGCAGGTTACTCTCAAAACACCACTGCTTTGGACACGTATCAAGGTGGTGAAGAGGCACTTGACTATGCGCCGAAATTTTACGGTCACTGGCAGTGTGTCGGTGAAAGGGAGAACTTCCTACTACACAGATACCGGTGTTTCGTGAATGCCTCTCTCTCTGTCTCTGTTGTCTTTGCATCTGGGTCATTCAGATGGCCTTCCTCTCAGTGTTTACCTGGAAAAAATGGGCAGTGACACCACAACAGATGTTGGGCATGCTTTTTCCTCCTTGCTATTCTCCTACTCCCGTCGCTGGGTATCTTTGTTTCTAGCTGAAGAACTGATCTCATCAAATTCATTTCCGGATGACTCTTTCCCAATACTGATTCATATTCATTTTTGGGAGACAGATTGGTCGGGCTGGCTTGGTACACCCTCAATTGATATCATAGCACCACGCCTGCACTCGTGGACCACAGAGGGACAACGTCTTCTCTACTTATCATTTCACCTGTCCAGATTACCAAGTACACTGTCTCCCAAGTGGCACTTGCCGAAATTCTGAGGACTGTAGGGCAGCTTCCAAACATTCACAGGATGACTGTAGGAGAGATAAAACAAGAGGCAATAACCTTCCAAGAAGTTCCACTTCACCTGGCATCCCTTTCCCATCTCTGGAGCAATCTGGCAGTGGCTTCATGCTAGAAAAATTCATTGATTCAATTTCCTGTCCAGTGCTCACAAGTCTATCCATAACTAGTTACTACACAGGTATCTGTTATTGGATCCATCCAGAGACTTGAAGCGCAATCCAATTTCACTTTGGAGAGCTTGAACATGACTGCTCAAGCAGGTCTTACTATGTTAGAGAACACTACAGGGATCAAATACCTTGTAGTCAGAACCATAGGGAAGACTACAGACTACGACCCATTTGTGTCCTTGCAAAATGTTCTTTCCCATTTGAGCATAGCTAATGACCCTGAGGGATCTACTCTTACTGCTCCAACACCAGATCCTCTTCATTTTCCGGGTCCGTTGACAGGAAGCAGAAACTTGATATCAATGTTTCCATTCCCAAATCTTCATTGCCTGGAGCTCAACCTCTGCTCATCACCAGTCCTAGAGAACAGTGATATAATGGCAGAACTCCTGGCATGTGTGGTTTCTCGTAGTACCTCCTCAAGCAAGGGTGGAATAATTAGCCTTGTGCTTGACAAGATTTTCATTGCAAGTCCGGATCGTATGGCAAGGAAGATGCTCAATCATGCATGCTTGAAGGAACTTCGATCTATGGGGCTGAAGGTGGACATTGTAGGCTTGTGACTTTGGTTTTGGCTTTCAAGTGTTTGCACTGGTGTTAACTGTTCTTGTAAGTACATGCTCGCCCTTGCAGGGTTTTCTATTTATCAAGTTTCCTTTGGGTGTTTCAGTGTATATACTGTGCATATACGAAAGGTTTAGCATTGAATAAGTACCTTCTTTTTTATATAGTAGAAATCAGCAATAGTCTCTTTATACCATAAGCCAGGTGCAGTGCATGCAAGTAAACCTGCCAGTATTGGTACTAGGTTTCTTCTTCATCTTGTGAACCTGTTCTGAGACAGCTGCCTCTGCATTTCATCTATCTTCTTCTGCAGCATGGAGTTTAGCTTCAAGTCGTGACTCACAATTGCCAGTGCCTCGACGCCACCCTTCTGACCCATTCCTTGAATATTTCCATCCATCGCTCCTTGTCCCACACCTGTTCCTGCATTTGCTAAATGTTTTGTGTTCAACAAAAGCCTTGTCTATGATACCCCTCAGCTTTCATGCACTGCTCAGTGCTCAAGTCGTTCTTCAATGGAAGAGTTTCCTCTTCCTCTGCCTCCGGATTCCAGCTCTAATTTTTCCTCCATCCTTCATCTTCTATCCAAGATTCGCCCACCTCGCCTCCTCTTGCATCGAATCCCAAGATTCGGATTGGAAATAGTACTGCAGCTGGTTCATTAGCAGTATTAAAATAAACCCCGACAAGTTCTCGGAGGCGTATTTTAATATTTGCAACAAGTTGTCAGCACAGCTTATACCTAGAAAAGAAATATTGATACAGAGAGAACGAGAGCCCGTGGGAAAAAACGGACACTTTTCCCATGCTCGTGTAGGTCACCTGCACCCAACCCTATCCCTACCTCGCATCCTAACCCTAACCCTGATTAATATTTTAACAGTGGGGGCAAGCCCCCACACCCCCATTATTATCCTCAACCCCTAAACCCTAACCACCCTACCCCTAACCTATGTTCACTGTTTGTTTGGCACTGTTTTGATCAGGTCTCTATCTTTGTGCTTACCCTAACGAGACCTGACCAAAACAGTGCTTATTACTATATTTGGTCATAATCCTAATTTTAGATTAGGATTAAGCGGAGGCACCACTGGAAAGAGGGAAAAAAATAAAGGGGTGTAGCCATTTCTGTTTTTTCCCACGGCCCCTGGTTCCTGAGATATGGTCCCATCTTATCATACTATGGTTAGGGTTCCCTGGGCATATTTGGCTGGCTGACAACTTGTCGCTATTATTAAAATACGCCTCCGAGAACTTGTAGGGGTTTATTTTAATACCGCTATAGCCTCTGGTGAGTACTGACTTGGACTCGGAGGTGTCTGCCAATTGAATCCACTTTCACTTTGGCCTCTAATTAGAATTTGACAAGGATGATCATGTAGCAGGGGTCGCACTCGGAGAGGTGCGAAGTTGAGACCGGTAGAGAATGAAAATGAATTCCTGTAGATCTCTGCCTATTACTACTTGAGTATTAGAAGGTGAACCGGGATTTTGTTGCAAATTTTGTGAAGACTTGAGAGGAAGCGCAAGGCAAGGCTACTTATTACTTGGAGGGTTGAAATGAATATCCATAATCCATAATCCATGAGCCATGATGAACGGAAGGAGTTGAAATCCTTTTGCTAGGTAGGAAACAGATTAGTATTCAGAAAGAAAAAATACAAAAAGAACATTTGCGCAAGGTCATCGATCAATTGTTCATCTCCCTGGCTGGGAGTTGAACCCAGCTTTCGCGCGTCACAAAACTACCATGAACAGGAGAGATGACAAGCGCATGTACTAACCAATATACTACCAGGGAGTTATTGATTCTAACATTGAAATGGATGTCGACAGCAGACCCTCAAACCATATTGAAGATTCGGAAACATCTTGATGCCCTTCCAGAAAGCAAATAAGGGTAGAGTTTGACCTTTCTAGGTGCCTGTGTGATGTCCCCATTACCGAAACGAAGAAATCAGAGCAGCGCACCATTATTGCATGTTGGAGGAAAGGTTGTGAGACAGTTTGGGTACGCTTATCTATTTACTATTCAACAGATATTGACCTTACTGATTTCAAACTCATCTAGTACCATATGGATTGTGTTTCGGTGAACTACTACACCAAAACATGGAGCTGCAATGCATGTAACAGCTCAAGCTGATGGTAGAGGCTGAGAGGCAAGATTATCTTATCAAGATATACCATATATAGGCGTGGGAATGATTACATAGTTAAGTTAGTCCAAGGTCCAGACCCGGCAAAAAAAAATCGATGTCTGGTCATTTTTTGAAAAATTTGAACCCCCCTTGGATTCAAGCATGTTTGGTTTTCACAGTCATTTTGAAGATTCCGGTTGTTGCATAATCAATTTAGTAGAGAAAAATTCTGAGCAGCACAATAGATTGGACAAAGTGTAGTACAGATATATGTGGTGTTTATTTAAGTACCTAAAAGTGAAATTTATAGGATTTGCCAGAGCTGGCAAAGAGCTAGAGACAGAGCTGGACATTTGCCATTGGTAGGGCTCTGGCATAAAATTGAGACGAAGTTAGGCCCAGGTGGTAGATCAATAGAGGAGAATGATCAGATTAAATATGACACTGAGCCCAGTTTGAACCATGTATAAAACAGCTGAGATCAAGAGAGGTACTACCAGTTTGGGAAATTATCATTTGCATATGGGGCCATATAATGCATGAGCGGTACTCAGGTGGGGTCCAAAGAATGAGAGATGAATTGCCTCCAACAAGCCACCCCTCAGGATCCATTTCAATGGGTGTAAGGAATTTGTCACTAAGTGACAAGGCATGGTTTGAATGGAAGCAACAGAAAGAAACTGCTTGAAGGCTGAGATCAATAGCATTTGATGAGGTTGTGATGGACTGCAAGGCTTCACCTGTCTCTGCACCCCAAACCTGCACTGAGTTGTCACCTGACCCAGAGACAATCCTCCTCCAATCTGGTGAGAATGCAACTGAATTAACCCAATCAGTATGTCCCTGAAGGGGCTCCCCAACAGCTGTGCCTGTGTCTGCATCCCAGATTCTAACTGAGCTGTCATATGACCCAGAGGCAATCCTCCTCCCATCTGGTGAGAATGCAACTGAAGTAACCAAAGAGGTATGTCCCTGCAGGGGCTCCCCAACAGCTGTGCCTGTGTCTGCATCCCAGATTCTCAATGACTTGTCATATGACCCAGAGGCAATCCTCCTCCCATCTGGTGAGAATGCAACTGAACTAACTGCAGAGGTATGTTCCTGCAGCTCCCCAACAGCTGTGCCTGTGTCTGCATCCCAGATTCTCACTGACTTGTCATATGACCCAGAGGCAATCCTCCTCCCATCTGGTGAGAATGCAACTGAAGTAACCAAAGAGGTATGTCCCTGCAGGGGCTCCCCAACAGCTGTGCCTGTGTCTGCATCCCAGATTCTCACTGACTTGTCATATGACCCAGAGGCAATCCTCCTCCCATCTGGTGAGAATGCAACTGAAGTAACTCCAGAGGTATGTCCCTGCAGAGGCTCCCCAACAGCTGTGCCTGTGTCTGCATCCCAGATTCTCACTGAGTTATCATCTGACCCAGAGGCAATCCTTCTCCTTTCTGATGAGAATGCAACTGATCTAACTGCAAATGTATGTCCCTGTAATATTGACTGCTGTGATGGCCACACCTTTCCATGTCCAGTACATACATGTGGCAAATTCCTGAACTTCCCCATGCAGTCTTTCCACAGCCTGCACTCCATTGGTATGAAAGGTAGGCCAGATAAGTAAAGGTGAGGAGTGGAATTTGAGATCATTTGCCAAACACTGTAACAAATTGGAGCATATCATCCAAAAGCTGAAAAATGTTCCTGTGATTTTCTGATACTTGCAGTGGCAGAGTGGAATACATAACTAATCTGTAATTCTTCATGGCTCTTGGATTGTTGAAATTAAAAGCACTTTCCAAAACTGCCCTATAGATTCCATCAAGAGCCTGCAAGTCATTCTGGCTTTTGGGTGCTACAGCTCTAAGGTCTTCAAAGAGTTCTGAAACAGTTGATCCTCTTTTTCCCCAGCCTTTAAGTGCCTCACAAGCAGTAAAAGCCCACTGGAAAAACCCCTCTGACATTTTGGCAAGGTCGAAACACTCTGTTTCACTCAAAACTCCCCATACTTCATTTGGATCCATCATCTTATATTGGATATATTTAAGAATGTCATCCTCAGTATTGGGAATGTCAATCATGTCTTTGCATCTGAGAGCTGGAGAATTTTGCAAGGAAAGTGCATGCAACACATCAGGTTCTGGCCATGATGTTATAAGAATACGGAAGTTCTTTGGGAGTCTATGCATACTCCTTGTTAAAACTGATCAAAGAGCTTTCCGGCCAGTGGATGACTTATCTCCACATTCATCAAAAGCATCAATAATGATGACAATTGGTCCATTGCAATTGTCAGCCAGAGACTGTGCTGGTTGAACAATGAGATTATCCCATTGAACTTGAATGGCAAAGGTACCAACAATGGTCACATCTTTGTCCAAAACTTTAACCAGAGCATTCTGGAATGCTTGATCTACATAGGCAAGATTATGGGCCAATGTGTGTAAAGCTTTGTGAGGTGTATGCTCTGCACTGTATGTACGGTTGAAGGAAAAGAATGCCCCAAGACAGGACGGAGTCTTGAATCTCTGGCCTATAGTATGGCTGATGGCAGACTTGCCAGTCCCAGCTTGACCACAAAGCCAAAACACTTGTGGCACTCCATCTCCTATGCTGGTAATCCAAGCAGATATTTCATCAATGATTTCAACCCGAGTATTTTCTAGACAAATTTCATCTTGTTGAACACTAGCTCCATCAACTGGTTTCAAGGTGCCTAACTTGAGATCATTTCCTACAAACTCATGTTAGTTCATGAGATTCAAGAACAATGACCATTTAACACACTGATCTCCTGAACCATGTCATATACATGTACAACAGTGATATCAATCTGGGCTATGGACTGATCTTTAAATGCATTCATGAGTTTATCCATTTTGGTTGTGTATGTATTAATCTTCTCATCAATGTTGGAAATAATACCCTTTATAGCTCTTTTAACTGGAAGAATATTGTCAAGTTTGTAGATCACTAAAGGGACAAGGGAAAAGCTCACGGAAATGGGTTTGCTCCATGTAATGCTGCAAAAAATAGGCACACTCCACTGTTTGCAGTATCAACAATTGGGCTAAGTGCTTTTGGTGTTCATTGAGATGCTTTGGATCTTTGATATTGGCCTTGAGAAATTCATAAACTCCACCAATAGCAATGAGAAGGTCCTTCACGTCCTCATCTTGTTTCATCTGATTCTCCAAAGGCTAGAAGAGGAACATACATTAGGGTGATGTAAGATAAATAGATGTAGAACAAGCCTTAGTAATCCCAGTGATGATAGTTGTCACCATTTTGACATATGGATAAATCTATATATAAATCCAAAATTTTCAGTGGGTATGAAAGTGAGAGTAGAGGAGTATTAACCTCTCCTATTCCATCAATCACTTTGTTGAATAGAGCAACCTTATCCAATAGTGCATTAAATGTCTCTCCTAAATCACCCACATTTTCCAAACCAGTATCAGCATCAGCTGCCATCTGTATAACACTAGACAGTGACCCTGATGGGCCATGTGACTGTGATTGTGCGAAGATTGCATTGTCAATTACTGAACCTAGGTTACTCTAAAAAGGAATCATCAAGAAAGAAATACATGGTGTAATATTTACATACAACTTGGAGTGGAAGGCTGTCAGGGGAAGGAGGACTGGCTTGATTACTTTGAGTATCAGCACCTCCCTCCATCTGAACAATAGGTGCAGGGTCAATGTCTGAAAGTAGTGTGAGTGGATGTGACAAAAGACAATGAATATTAGACAAACATGTTCAGACCCAGGTGCAGCTGTAAGACCATTATTGCATGAATATGAGTGAGTCACTCAAGAATCTCAGTAGTGCATAATATTAATACAACCTCACCGGAAAGTCCAGAACTAGGATCCTGGGCTCTACCCTTGGTAATATCCTTTTTATGGTGGAATTTATTCCTGACTTTCTTGATGGTTTTACAAAACTGCTTCGTTCTGATTAGGGGGCTTCATGGGGGGAAAGGAAGAAAGAGATGATTGAACATGCACTTTTATGTGTGGCAACACATGTTGATTGACAGTAATCTTGATCCATCTTCTCTGCGCTTGGCGGAAATTTGGTGCCTGTCCGGTGACGCAACATTCACCTCTCCAAACTTCTATTCTAGGTCTATTAATATCCAATTTACTCTCTTACCGTGTATTGCCAACAGGCTTGGGGTCAACCGTGCTGCCAAGCTAACATCTATGTCCAAAATTGCACCCAGATCTCCACGTCAACAATGATGATGAGGCTCATCGGTACCTCTACCCAAATGTCTCCAGTAAATTCCATTCAAGAAAATTGGCAAGCTTAGCAAAACCCTCCTGCCGAACAGAGTACACCTTTTCAGCCAGCATTGGTGTCATCTCATTGAGTACAGGTTTCTTCTCCATCTCGTGAACCCGTTCTGAGACAGCCACTGCATTTCATCTATCTTCTTCTGCAGCATGGAGTTTAACTTCAAGTCGCGACTCACAATCACCAGTACCTTGAGGCTGCCCTGCTGACCCATTCTTTGAACTTTAATTCCTTCCTTGTCCCACGCCTGTTCCTGCAGTTCCCAAGCTTTTCCTATGTAACAAAAGCCTTCTCTATGATATCCCTCCTTCATGCACTGCTCAGTGCTCAGTGGCCCAGCCCAAGTCATTCTTGGAA